TGAACATACTCCATACAACTGTACATTTCTTTCTAATTGTAGTTCTTTGACATGCTCACCTGGGAAGATATTTCCTTGGATGTAATTAACATTTAAACAAACAGATTGTGGATTTTACAGGATCAGTTGAGGGTGTTAAGAGCAAATACAGAGGTTTCCCAAAGTAAAAGCAATTCAGCCTGAAGACAAGACCATTACTGGAACCCTAATCACCAGCCTGTCAACCTAAAGATGAAGCAACTGGGCCCTAAGGCCTGTCACTGGGTTGTCGTCAGAATCCTAACATAACTGCTCTTTGACTTAGAAAACTTATCTTCACTTCTCTAGGCCTTGGTTTTCTCAACTAAACAAGGAAATTAGAGTAGAAAATCCTTTACATTTCCAAAGATTATGCAAATCTCAGTATAAAGCATGACCCCAAACTGAGGTTTTATTCTTTTTCTTGAAAAGAAAATTATTGATTAGCTATGCAGCGTCCATGTTTGGATCTCTTCTACTTCTCATTATGTGCTCTATCTCACAATGTATTTCTCTAACAGCTTTAAGAAAAATTCCTTGATAGAAATAATTACTTGATTGTTTTGGAATACTACATTTATCTTTGATCTTTCTTTGAAAAGCAGGAGTTGTAGTTAAGCATACTAGTGAGAGAAACTGTTTCTAAATGTCAGTATGTCACCTTGAGGAATTTTGCTATGTGTAATTTCTCAGTCATGTCCAACACTTTATGACCCCATAGTCTGACGACCCCATGGACTGCAACACACCAGGATCCTCTGTCCATGGGGATTCTTTAGGCAAGAATTTGACATGCCCTCTTCCAGGGATTTTCCTGACCAGGGATGGAATGCAGGTTTCTTATAGTGCAAGCGGACTCTTTACTGTCTGAGCCAATAGCCCCCAATAAAATGAGTCTTCACATATACAGATGATGCATTATTTGCCTACTTTTGTTTCCTGCAACAGTGTTTTTTTTTTTTTTTTTCCAATTAATATATTGGTCCCGTTTCTATTCACCTGAAAGCTATCTTAATACAAGTTTTTCCTCAAAGGGAAAAAAAAGTAACACAAAAGGAACTTTCATCTGTAATAGCCATTAAGATTTTGTCCAGTTGTCAGTTTATCCAAAATACCAGAGGCTGAGTACATTGCTTTTAATTGTAATATTTACCTCAAAAGGAACAAATAAGCTGGTCTGTGAAAAATACGTTTCTGCCATGGTTGATATTCAGTAAATGGTAACTTCAGGGTAGTTTTTGCAGCCTTTATAGATCGAAGGAAACTGAATTAAAGCAGTGGGAATTAGTGTTGTTCAGATAAGTAACTGTAAAACAGAGTATGGTCAGTGAGATAAAAACGGTGAGAATGAAATTAGGAAGCAATAAGGAGAAAGATGGTACTTTCATCTAGGAAAAGAAGGTAACACTTCATTAAAGAGGTGATTTTTTTTTTGTACATTCAGAGAGATTAGGTGTTTGTGTACAATGCAAGAATATTTGATTTGTAGATACTCCTTGAAGTATTTTCATCTGTCATGATCAGAGAGTACAGCTAAGTAAGTGAACTCCTCCAGTGAAGTTAAGAATCCTATGGTCAAAAGTAGACTCAAGGGCAGGTTCAGGGCACTGTCTCTCAGCTCAGTCACTCAGTTGTGTCTGACTCTTTCCGACCAGATGAACGGCAGCACGCCAGGTCTCCCCATCCATCACCAACTCCCAGATTTTACTCAAGCTCATGCCCATCGAATCGGTGATGCCATCCAGCCATCTCTTCCTCTGTCGTCCCCTTCTCCTCCTGCCCCCAATCCCTCCAAGCATCAGGGTGTTTTCCAATGAGTCAACTCTTTGCATGAAGTGGCCAAAGTATTGTAGTTTCAGCTTCAGCATCAGTCCTTCCAATGAAGACCCAGGACTGATCTCCTTTAGGATGGACTGGTGGGATCTCCTTGCAGTTCAAGAGACTCTCCAACACCACAGTTCAAAAGCATCAATTTTTCAGCGCTCAGCTTTCTTCACAGTCTGACTCTCACAACCATACATGATCACTGGAAAAACCATAGACTTGACAAGATGGACCTTTTTGGCAAAGTAATGTCTCTGGTTTTTAATATGGCATGTAGGTTGGTCATAACTTTCCTTCCAAGGTGTAAGCGTCTTTTAATTTCATGGCTGCAATCACCATGTGTCACCATTCTGGAGCCCCCCAAAATAAAATCTGACACTGCTTTCACTGTTTCCCCATCTATTTCCCATGAAGTGATGGTACCAAATGCTATGACCTTAGTTTTCTGAATGTTGAGCTTTAGGCCAACTTTTTCACTCTGCTCTTTCACTTTCATCAAGAGGTTTTTTAGTGCCTCTTCACTTTCTGCCATAAAGGTGGTGTCATCTGCATATCTGAGGTTATTGATATTTCTCCCAGCAATTGTGTTTCCAGCTTGTGTTCTTCCAGCCCAGCGTTTCTCATGATATACTCTGCATATAAGTTAAATGAGCAGGGTGACAATATACAGCCTTGATGTACTCCTTTCCCTATTTGGAACCAGTCTGTTGGTCCATGTTCAGTTCTAACTGTTGCTTCCTTACCTGCATATAGGTTTCTCAAGAGGTAGGTCAGGTGGTCTGGTATTCCAATATTTTTCAAAATTTTCCTCAGTTTATAGTGATCCACACAGTCAAAGGCTTTGGCATAGTAAATAAAGCAGAGATAGATGTTTTTCTGGAACTCTCTTGCTTTTTGGATGATCCAGCAGATGTTGGCAATTTGATCTCTGGTCCTCTGCCTTTTCTAAAACCAGCTTGAACACCTGGAAGTTCACAGTTCATGTATTGATGAAGACAGGCTTGGAGAAGTTTGAGCATTACTTTACTAGCTTGTGAGATGAGTGCAATTGTGCGGTAGTTTGAGCATTCTTTGGGATTGGAATGAAAATTGACCTTTTCCAGTACTGTGGCCATTGATGAGTTTTCCAAATTTGCTGACATATTGCGGGCAGCACTTTCACAACCCTGTGTCTAGTTCTGTCCTATTCAGCCTTTTAGTCAGTTACTCGATTATCACATTATCTTAGGACAGGAAACTGTGATGGCTAGTGTATGTGAAATGAAAGGCTGAACATCCATTGTTTTCCATCTAATAGGGTAATAATTAAAAACAAATGCATCCACAGTTCTGTGAAAGTGAAAGTCGCTCAGTCGTGTCTGACTCTTTGTTACCCCATGGACTATGCAGTCCATGGAATTCTCCAGGCCAGAATACTGGAGTGGGTAGCCTTTCCCTTCTCCGGGGAATCCTCCCAACCCAGGGATCAAACCTAGGCTTCCCACATTGCAGGAAGATTTTTTACCAGCTGAGCCACAAGGGAAGCCCCCACAGTTCTAGTTCTGTAATTATGTCCAAAAATCAGGGTATGAGGGTTTGGGTGGGGATAAAAGACCTCAATGGTTTTAGCTCACTGTATGCTGTGTGCATCAAAACTTCATTGACATTTTATTCCGCATGAATAAAAGTGTTTCACTGAACAAACACCTAACAATGTCCTGTTGCATGCAAAGAATGGACTATAGTGAAGAGTATATATGTGGACTTTGTAAATTAGACTTAAATTTTAATAGAAAAGCAAAAATGAAGTGAATTTGAAAGTTAAATGTTCCACCACAACTGGGATACTTTCGAGAGGGAAAAGCACAGAATTCCATATGTCCACATAACAAGCAGACCTGAGCTGTGTCAGAGTCAGGAAATGCTGTTTTGAGGAAGTGGTTTTTACTGAGATCTGAAAGATGTTGAGGAGGTCATCAGGTAAGACAGAGAGGGTATTCCAGGGAGAAGGCATTTATAAAGAGCTTTAGCCATGTGTGAGAATATAAATGAGAAGAACAAAAATGCCAGGATTGAACCTTCAACTAATATAATTTACTTGGTAAAATTTATGCTAACTGGACAGTGAATACATTTGGAATATGATCATTTCTGTGAAAGAGATAAGATCAAGTTTTTCAGAGCACAGGAGATATTTCCATTTGCTGGGTAATTCGGTAAAGATTCACATAAACCTAGGAAACCTGGTTTCTATTGCTACTTTTGCACTCAGTTTTATAAGTTTACATAAGTGACTTAATCATTCTTGGATTTATTTATATATCCTTAATATGGGAGGATTGCCTAGATAATTTCCAAGGTTTCTTCCTTTTTCTGAATATCCAGTGAGTCCCACTGGTTATTATCTGGAATAAAGAAAAAGAAAGTAACCCTTTTACATATCAAGTGTAATGTCTGAAATACCTACAAAATTATATAAAAAGGATTGAAATTCTTGCTATTTTTCTCTTTTCAGGTTTTTAAAAATATATTTTCCTGATAAAATGCAAGATATTTAAAGTATATAGGACAATTTAAATAGGTATACATTATTCATGGATTTCCTCATTGATTTACCATATCTATTAATATCTCCTCACATATTTACTTTTCAAGATCATTTTGGTGAGGACATTTAAGTTTTCCTCTCTTACATGTGTGCTAAGTGACTTCAGTCATGTCCAGCTCTTTGTGACCCCATGGACTATACAGCCTGCCAGGCTCCTCTGTCCATGGGGATTCTCCAGGAAAGAATGTTAAGGTGGGTTGCCATGCCCTCCTCCAGGGGATCTCCCTGACCCAGGGATTCCACTCTTTTTTCCTTTATGTAATGTCCTTGTATTCCTTTGTCTATGGAAATTTCCTTTGCTCTCAAGTCGACTTTATCTAATATTAACATATGTTTTTATCCTTTTATTTGCCAGATAGCCATGCCATCATTGAGCTTCTTGGGCTTTCCTGGTGGCTCAGGCACTAAGGAATCCACTTGCCTTGTGAAGACCTGGATTCAGTCCTTGGGTTGGGAAGATCCCCTGGCGGAGGACATGGGGGTCTGGATTCTGGCCTGGAGAATTCCATGGACAGAGCACCCGGTGGGTTACAGTCCATGGGGTCACAAAGAGTCAGACACAACTTGGCAACTAAACCACCACCTGGTGTTCCTTCACATTTATTCTTTGGGAGGAACAGCCCCACTCAGGCTGCCTTCTGATGCCAGGTTGGAGGTCAGGAAGGCTGGGCCTGTGGTTGGAGGTCGGGAATGCTGGGCCTGTGGTTGGAGGTCGGGAATGCTGGGCCTGTGGTTGGAGGTCGGGAATGCTGGGCCTGTGGTTGGAGGTCGGGAATGCTGGGCCTGTGGTTGGAGGTCGGGAATGCTGGGCCTGTGGTTGGAGGTCGGGAATGCTGGGCCTGTGGTTGGAGGTCGGGAATGCTGGGCCTGTGGTTGGAGGTCGGGAATGCTGGGCCTGTGGTTGGAGGTCGGGAATGCTGGGCCTGTGGTTGGAGGTCGGGAATGCTGGGCCTGTGGTTGGAGGTCGGGAATGCTGGGCCTGTGGTTGGAGGTCGGGAATGCTGGGCCTGTGGTTGGAGGTCGGGAATGCTGGGCCTGTGGTTGGAGGTCGGGAATGCTGGGCCTGTGGTTGGAGGTCGGGAATGCTGGGCCTGTGGTTGGAGGTCGGGAATGCTGGGCCTGTGGTTGGAGGTCGGGAATGCTGGGCCTGTGGTTGGAGGTCGGGAATGCTGGGCCTGTGGTTGGAGGTCGGGAATGCTGGGCCTGTGGTTGGAGGTCGGGAATGCTGGGCCTGTGGTTGGAGGTCGGGAATGCTGGGCCTGTGGTTGGAGGTCGGGAATGCTGGGCCTGTGGTTGGAGGTCGGGAATGCTGGGCCTGTGGTTGGAGGTCGGGAATGCTGGGCCTGTGGTTGGAGGTCGGGAATGCTGGGCCTGTGGTTGGAGGTCGGGAATGCTGGGCCTGTGGTTGGAGGTCGGGAATGCTGGGCCTGTGTTGTCTTCTCTTAGGTGCTGCTGTATTGCTCTTCCTTTCCTCAGGCCCTAAACTAGTTCCCCTTCTTCTTGCCAGATATACAAGGTCTCCTTTAGTGGTCTCTTCTTTTTTCCAGAACAAACAGAGGAGTGGGCACAAAGAGATCAAGGCCATCTTGTCTGAACCAGAAGCCCAGGAAGTGTTTTATAACGTAGGGCAGAGATTTCATGGAGGGAAGTTGAGGAAGCAAGTGGAAAGGAGTCCACAGTAGGCTGGAGATGAAAGTCATGGAGTCCCTTTCTTTAGAAGTCATCAGAGGCTGAGAAAGTATTTTTCCTAGGTGATATATATATATACAGCTCTGAGTGAGTACACTTTCAGTTTCAGCAAACTGTAAGTCTTCTGTATTTTTCATTAATTCTCTTTACAAATGCATATATATAATGATATCCATATGACATTTTATTCATTCTTCTGGGCCATTGCTCCACTTTTATTATGACATGAGATTTAAACCCTGAAAAAAAGATATCTATTGTAGAAGTTGGATTATTTACCAGTAGATGAATTGATGGAATAACAAAAAAACTAAAGATGATTACTTAATTGAGCTCCAAAAATTTTACATATGCACATGAAGAGAGTTATTCATGCATAATTTTATTCTTGGCTCCTTGTGGTATTCTGAGAACTTTGATTGAAGCTATATATATATAAATTACTTTATTATGATAGTTAAACAACTCATATCATTATATCTGTACATTTAGAATCCATTAATCCAGTGGCCATAACAATGCGTGGCCTCATCCCCTGGGGAAGAAAATGTTAGCAATTCCATGTCTATTTATTTTTATCTCACTGTTATTTTATATTTTGTGTATATTTTTAAAATGTCACAAATATATTAGAATAGCAATGTATATAGAATATGTTTACATAATAAAATTGGGTCACTGACAGTTTTTTAAAAATGGAAAATAATTTTGAGGTTAGTTTTTCAGGAAAGAGAAAATTATCAAAATTTGCTGCATAAAATGTTACTTAATTTGGGTTAGTTTACCAAAAAATTTTTATGAAACCAGTTCAACTGAAGAGAGGCAGAATGTTCAGAACATCCATGTTTTCATGAGTTTGCATAGAGCATCAGAGACGGAAACATTTTTAAAGTTGACCTGACTGGACAGAGGAAAACTTGAATCTCGAATGCAAGAAAGCATGTTTGCTCCCCTCAGTGTGGTCTAAGTTGTTTTTCTTTAAATCACCTCCCTTTCTTCACCATTATTCCCGAAACCCCATCTTCTGCTTTACTGTTTCTTTTCCCATAGTACAGATCACCTGTTAACATACCATATAATGTACTCGGATTCATGTTTATTGCAGAATATCTGTCTTCCCCCAGGTGGAAAACCTGTTCCATGAGGATAAGTGTCTGCCTTTGTTTATTGATATAAACTAAGCACCTGTAATAGTTTCTGAGTCAAGAAGGAATTAAGTCAATGATCACCTGGTTAAATGATCGACAGCAGATACTGGGCAGGCCCGTCTGTTTCAAACTCTTGTGATTTTGATTTGCTATTGTAAATAAGCTGTTATAGTTAATGGTACAAGATTAATACGTTTCTGTTTCTTTTATGAGCATAAAAATAACTACATTTGAAGATAAAGTTTTAGACAAAACATGATAGCCAAAATGCACATTTGAAAAAAAATTATATTAGTTTATTTGTTTTCTTTATCCAAAATAGAATTATATTCCTTTTCAAAAACTTTTTACTTACCTAGGTGTGTGTACATATATATAAATAAATTTCCATCTATTCAAAGCTATGGTTTTTCCAGTAGTCAGGATGGATGTGAGAGCTGGACCAAAAGAAACTGAGCACAGAGGAATTGATGCTTTTGAACTGCAGTGTTGGAGAAGACTCTTGAGTGTCCCTTGGTCTGCAAGGAGATCAGTCCAGTCAATAAGGAAATCAGCCCTGAATATTCATTGAAAGGATTGATACTTAAGCTGACATTCCAATACTTTGGCCACCTGATGGAAAGAATTAACTCATTGGAAAAGACCCTGATGCTGGGAAAGATTGATGGCAGGAGGTGAAGGAGATGGCAGAGGATGAGATGGTTGGATGGTATCACCTTATGATGGACATGAGTTTGAGCAAGCTCCAGGAGATGGTGGAGGACAGGGGAGTCTGATGGGCTTTAGTCAGTCCATGGGGTCTCAAAGAGTTGGATATGACTGATGGAACTTAACTGAAGGTATGCATATGTGTTATGTATGTAACATAATGACTATATGATCATTATACCTAGGTCACATTGACAAATATGCTATTTTAGTTTCAGGTATCATTATATATAGATAATATTGACATAGAATATTATTTTGGTTTCAGGTGTACAACGTAACTATTTGATATATATTGCAAAATGATCACCACAATAAGTCTGGTGAACATCCATCATTAGAAATAGTTACAATTATTTTATTATGATGTAAATTTTTACTATCTTTTTGCAGAAGCGCGGTGGCTGCGATGGACCAAGCAGAATCGCGCTGGGTGTGAAGGACCACGCAGAAGCGTAGAGGTGAGGAGCTACACACCTTGCTAAGGTCCGGGGCGGTGACCGTGAGTGCCAGGTTGCGAAGGCGCAGGAGCGGCCGAGCGGAGCTACCCCATTACAGAGGTTAGGGGTGGCCACTGCACAGGGCAGAGAAGGGCCGAGAGGAGCCACTCCACGTTCAAGGTCAGGAGGGGCATCTGTGAGGAGATATCCCTGGTCCAAGGTAAGAAGCAGCAGCTGTGCTATGCTGGAGCAGCGGTAAAGAGATACCCCACATCCAAGGTAAGAGAAACCCAAGTAAGACGGTAGGTGTTGCGAGAGGGCATCAGAGGGCAGGCACACTGAAGCCATAATCACAGAAATGTAGCCAATCTGATCACAGGACCACAGCCTTGTCTAACTCATGAAACTAAGCCATGCCCTGTGGGGCCACCCAAGACGGAAGGGTCATGGTGAGGAGATCTGACAGGATGTGGTCCCCTGGAGAAGGGAATGGCAAACCACTTCAGTATTCCTGCTTTGAGAACGCCATGAACAGTATGAAAAGGCAAAATGTTAGGATACTGCAAGAGGAAATCCCCAGGGCGGTAGGAGCCCAATATGCTACTGGAGATCAGTGGAGAAATAACTCCAGAAAGAATGAAGGGAAGGAGCAAAAGCAAAACCAATACCAGGCTGTGGATGTGACTGGTGATAGAAGCAAGGTCTGATGCTGTAAAGAGCAATATTGCATAGGAACCTGGAATGTCAGGCCCATGAATCAAGGCAAATTGGAAGTGGTCAAACAGGAGATGGCAAGAGTGAATGTCGACATTCTAGGAACCAGTGAACTAAAATGGACTGGAATGGGTAAAATTAACTTAGATGACCATTATATCTACTACTGTGGGCAGGAATCCCTTAGAAGAAATGCAGTAGCCATCTTGGTCAACAAAAGAGTTCGAAATGCAGTACTTGGATGCAATACAAAAATGACAGAATGATCTCTGTTCATTTCCAAGGAGAACCATTCAATATCATGGTAATCCAAGCCTATGCCCAACCAGTAATGCTGAAGAAGGTGAAGTTGAACTTTTCTATGAAGACCTACAAGACCTTTTAGAACAAATACCCAAAAAGATGTTCTTTTCATTCTAGGGGACTAGAATGCAAAAGTAGGAAGGCAAAAAACACCTGGAGTGACAGGCACATTTGGCCTTGGAGTACAAATGAAGCAGGGCAAAGGCTAATCGAGTTTTGCCAAGAGAACACACTGGTCATAGCAAACACCCTCTTCCAACAACACAAGAGAAGACTCTACACATGGACATCACCAGATTTTCGAGACCGAAATCTGGTTATATTCTTTGCAGCCAAAGATGGAGAAGCTCTACACAGTCAGAAAAAACAAGACCAGGAGCTGACTGTGACTCAGATCATGAACTCCTTATTGCCAAATTCTTACTGCCAAATTGAAGAAAGTAGGGAAAACCACTAGACCATTCAGGTATGACCTAAATCAAATCCCTTATGATTATACAGTGGAAATGAGAAATAGATTTAAGGGACTAGATCTGATAGACAGAGTGCCTGATAAACTATGGATGGGGGTTCATGACATTGTACAGGAGACAGGGTTCAAAACCATCCCCATGGAAAAGAAGTGCAAAAAGGCAAAATGGTTGTCTGAGGAGGCCTTTCAAATAGCTGTGAGAAGAAGAGACGTGAGAAGCAACAGAGAAAAGGAAAGATATTCCCATTTGAATGCAGAGTTCCAAAGAATAGCAAGGAGAGATAAGAAAGCCTTCCTCTTTGATCAACGCAAAGAAATAGAGGAAAACAACAGAATGGTAAAGAATAGAGACTCTTCAAGAAAATTGCAGATACCAAGGGAATATTTTGTACGAAGATGGGATCGATAAAGGACAGAAATTGTATGGACCTAAGAGAAGCAGAAGATACTAAGAAGAGGTGGCAAGAATACACAGAAGAACTGTACAAAAAAGATCTTCACGACCCAGATAATCACAATGGTGTGATCACTCACCTAGAGCCAGACATCCTGAATGTGAACTCAAGTGGGCCTTAGAAGGCATCACTAGGAACAAACTAGTGGATGTGATGGAATTCCAGTTGAGCTATTTCCAATCCTGAAAGATGATGCTGTGAAAGTGCTGCATGCAATATACCAGCAAATTTGGAAAACTCAGCAGTGGCCAAAGGACTGTTTTCATTCCAAGGACAGTTTTCATTCCAATCCCAAAGAAAGGCATTCCCAAAAATGCTCAAACTACTGCACTATTGCACTCATCTCACACACTGGTAAAGTAATGCTCAAAATTCTCCAAGTCAAGCTTCAGCAATACATGAACCGTCAACTTCCAGATGTCCAAGCTGGTTTTAGGAAAGGCAGAGGAGCCAGAGACAAATTGCCAACATCTGCTGGATCATCGAAAAAGCAAGAGAGTTCCAGAAAAACATCTATTTCTGCTTGATTGACTATGCCAAAGACTTCGACTGTGTGGATCACAATAAACTGAGGAAAATTCTGAAAGAGATGGGAGTACCAGACCACCTGAACTACCTCTTGAGAAACCTATATGCAGGTAAGGAAGCAACAGTGA